GGAGATTTTCACAGACCACTGCAACAGTCACCTGGGATCTGCAACACCATTCCTCTCAAGGCTTCTTTGCAGAGTTTATTACCCCAAACATAACTTTCAGAATGGGACAAAATAAACTAACTAGAATAAACTAAAAATAGATAAAGTAAATAAAATAAAATAGAAATCTAATTTAAGGGTCATTGGGAAAGATACCGGAACAGAGACCTGAAGCCACTCTTGGAAGTCACTCGAGTTTCGCTACCAGTGCATGCAGCCAAGCACTGAGCTGCAAAAAAACCAATAGTAGTGCTCTTACCCTAAAGTCCAGCTCTCTCACCTGAAGGGAACTATGAAGTCCTTTGCAGCAACTCCTATACTGATTGCTGTGACTTGGCCAGCATGCAGGCACATTACAAAACACTTGAAACAATGAATGCAACAGCACGGAGAAGCCAACCAAAAGCCAATCTCCAGCTACAAAACGTTCAAGGATCACAGTGCTTGCAACAAGCACTTTCTAACATTAAAAAAAAAAAAAAAAAAAAAAGAGGAAAAGTTTTCCCCATTCGCAGCTACATGTAACTATTTTGTTTCAAGAAGATGCAATCCCATCTTGCACCACACTACCAACTCTGGATAGTTCTGATACATAAGAAAGAGCCAGAAACAGGTACACTTTATAACCTGTTACTCTTTTTAAATGTAACAAAAGTGACCAAAAAGGCGTTTGTCTCTGGTCTACCATCAGGTCTAACCACAAGAATGGGAAACACCAGTACGTGACACAAGTCTAAGCATTCTCAGTCAGTTCTTCCAGAAGAGACTCAGAAAAGAGTCCCATCCCAGATTTCCATCACTTTCCTGTTCACGGGGCAGATTCCTATCCCGGAAGGTGACAGACTGTGCCAGGTAGATCTGGCAGCATGTGTTCCTCTGCGTCTTCGGACCCCAGATCGGTAACTGAGAAGGCAGGACGGGGTGTGCCCATGCTCATGCCCCGTTTGCTGGCAAACAGGATGGTCAGGAAAAACCTCAAGAGGACACAAGCTGCTATCAAAGGCAGTAGGATCATTTCTACTAACTTGAATTAAACCACAAAATGTTATACTCAAGATCTTTAACAGAAGAAAATTCTCTTTTCCTAGAAGAAATAATAAAAAGCATGATCAAATCAGTATTAACTACTCAGTGTTTTTATTCTCTTCCTTCCCGGGCATCACAGTGCCATCTGCACCTGGCTTGTCTGCAAGATGGGACTGCACCTTCTTGAAACAAAATAGTTACATGTAGCTGCGGATTAGGAAAACATTTTATTTTTTTTGGTGTTAGAATAGTTAGTGCTCATTGCAGGCCTGTGATCCTTAAATGGTTTGTAGCTGGACTTTGACTTTTGATTGACTTCTCTGTACTGTTGCACTTCCTATTATCTGATTAGACAAGATATGGAAATAATTTCTAATATACTTCACTGTGCATACGCATGTTTCTCTTGTGTATACAACACAACTCTCCACTGGGCCTTCCTTCTTCCTATAACAGAAACCCCCCAATTAGAAGATGGATGGGGGAGAAGAGGGTGAGGTTGCTGGGCTGTCGAGCTGTGGGGAGCAGTACGGGTGCACCCCTGAAAGGTGCTTCTGTTCCTGCTCCCATTCAGTTTACTCAGCCAGTCCTGCTTTATCCTCTCTGAATCGCACCCCTCTTCAGCATCACCATAGTGACTGCATAACTTACACTTGGTAGGCAGATTTCGGAGAGCCAATGGACAGTTGCAGAAGAGTCTCATGTAAACTGTTTATTGATACTAGCTGACATTTTACTGTACAGAAAATTGTTAGACTTTTCTTACTTTAAAAAAAAAAAAAAAAAGTCAACAAACCTTCAGCATAGTGCTCTGGCCTAGAAGAGACAGGAAAATAAATCTGTTTTTATTTACAGTACTTCTGCAGGTCACTAAGTTAATGGAATGTTACTGCATCTACTGAAGCAATTTTTAACTGTGTTTAGGAAACATGTTATTATTAGGAATGCACAAACATCCCACAAAAGTAGTCTGGTCACAGCAGCTCAGCAGAGGGTTCTGGCAAGTAGTTTAACACCCCAAACCCCTCCTCTCCCTTCCCCCTGAGCAGAGGCAGAGATTTATAATATGCTACCAAGCAGCAGAAATGCAGTTACAAGTGGCTGTCCCACTTCTATAAAATCAACAGCATTTTTTTTTTTTTTTTAGGATTAAGCAGCCTTCTAGATGAAAAAAAAAAAAAAAAAAAAAAAAAAAAAGAAGGCCAGAAGGCCTGAACTCTTTGGCACATGGATCACATCAAAACATTAAACTGGTCATGGTCAGAAACAAATTTAAAACCAGGCACTGCAAACACTAGCAGAGGACCAAGGGAAGTGATGGATGAAATGCCACAAAGAATACACAGTGCAAAAGTACACTTTAAATGCTCTTGTCACTAATCTCAGCAGTGAATAATAAAAAGTAGGGAAGCTCATATAAACACTGTATTTAGTATATTCACTGAACATCATAATACATTCTTCTGTTTGTTGTTTTTTTTTTTTAATCCATGTTTAAAACTATCTCATGCTTTGGTGGCCAACAAACAAGTACTAGTACCTTCCCAGAGACTAACACGTGACATAAGATTTACAGAGCTCTTCTGAAAAGTACTGCCTGGCAGCTATTAGTAACATTTTCTAACAGACCAAATCTCTCCTAAACTGCAGGATACTCCCTTTCTCCCTGCCTTAAAGCCTTATAAGAATACTAGCACTGATGAGAAGGAGGGTCACAATTAAATTCTTCCTCTCTTATTTGGACAAAGGTATTTTTAATAGCTACTGATGACAGTCATGTTAGAAAGTATAATTCATAATGCAGTCACCCAAAAAAGCCTCATTTGGGTTCTTCTCCAAAACCTTTTTAAGATAGACATGTGGGTAGCCTGGCTTTCTGAAGCAAAAGACTTCAGCTCATATTTATACCCATCAACAACAGAAGAAAAGGAGTGGTGAACTAGATGAATCATGTTTACCAAAACATTAAGTAAAACACTGTCCACAATAGTGCATGTCTATTCATGTAATTGGGTGCATTTCATGTTGGAGTTAACATTCACACACAGAAAAACTTAAAAGTTTACATTACTTTGCTGTTTAGAGATCTGGATTTGGGCAGTAATATCAAAAGGCTAGGCCACTGACCTTACAAAACCCAATAATTTTTAAAGTAATAGAAAATAACATTCTTTATCTGTGCAGCAGCAGTTGGGGAGAAGGAGAATAATCAAATCTGAGTGTGAAACGAGGACCTCATACATGCCTTTGGGCAGAATTTACGGTGGTGTGATTTACAACTCCAGCCACTCTCTCTGTTGTACAACTACTCTTTGTTGTACAAACTACTTCTGTGCTCAGCTACAACTAGTTACAGAGTGCAGTGCTAAACTCTCCTCTCCATGTGGCTACCCATACATATAGTCAAGAAAGCAGCTAATCTTTTTTCATAGTATTTTCTTGCTGTAGGTGTGCTTTCAGTGCACTAAACCAGGCAACTCAAGGTTTTGTTTTCAGCCACCTTTTTCTTCTTCTGTTACAGACGTAGCAGTCTCAGCCCCCAGACTCCAAAACGTCTGTTCCCTCCTCCCTCCTCCCCAGACAGTCATTACCACTCTCCCCCAAAAAGCTAAGTCCTGTTTGGAGAGAACTCAGTGTGGGTTTCTAGTGCGCGCCACCTCAGAAAAAAAACAGTGGGGAAAGTAAGTGTAGACCTCTGTAACTTAACTTTCACTGGGCTCCCATAAAATACCTTAGTCAGCATTTTTCCTAGGACATTTCAGAAGTGCTCTTACTTGCCACAAATATCAGAACACCTACATCTTTTTAAAAAACCTTACTGAAAAGTCTCCCTTCAGTGAGTACTCATTTAAAGCCAGAAAGTGAAAACTTTCTATATTATTTCTCATTTACATTATGCTTGAAATACCATCTCCAGCGTTTGCACTGGGGTATGTATGGTAGGAGCATTCTAATCATTTCAGCCCCGTGCAGCACATCCTTCTGCATCTGCTCCAGCTGTTTTCCCAAAGCCCTGTGCCCCGCTGCATGTATGGAAGAGATTTCTGCAGCGATGATTTCAAACACTGTGAGCCTGCATGCATAGTTTAACATCATCAGCTGAACCGCTAGAAAATATGAGAAAGGCTCCAGGAATTCATTTCACTTCAAGTATTAAATCAAAAATCTTCTTGATCGCCGCAGTCTCCTCCCTAACAAGGCAAAAGTCATGGGAACTTGATCCTGGTAGGATGCCCGTCACCCAGATCCCAGTGATTTCCTCAGAGGTACAAAGATCCGGGTACCCCATGCAAAGCCATCCCCTTTTCACCACTTTGACTTTAAAAGAAAAAGGAAAAGAAAAATAAGGAGGGGGGCGGGGGGTGGGGAGAGGGGGGAAGAGAGAGAAAAAGGAAAATAAAAAAAGGGAAAGAGAAGAAAACAAAAAGGAAAAGGAGGAAAATGAAAGAAGGAAAATAAATTTAAAAAAAAAAAAAAGGAAAACAAAAAGGGAAAGGGGAGAAAAAAGGAAATAAATAAAAAGGAAAAAAGGAAAAATAAAAAATGCAAAGACAAAAGGAAAAAAAATAAAATAAAAAAGGAACAGGAAAAAGTAAAGAGGAAAAGGAAAGTAAAAAAAAGGAAAATAATAAAAAAAAAAAAAAAAGAGCCAACTTTTTTTTAATCCTGTTCTTTAACCAAAACAAAGCAGCCCCATCCACCGGCCCGTTTCAAGCCGGGACTTCTGGGCTGCGCCGCAACTACCGGGAAAATTCCCCGCCCGCCGGAGCCGCCTCGGCGCCGCGGGCACCGGCTCCACCGCTCCGGTGCCGCCGAGAGCCCCCCCGGGCCTTGCCGCCCCCCCCCCGGGCTGCACCCCCCCGGCCCGGCCGCCCCCCCCCCCCCGGCCGCCCCCCCCCCCGGCCCGGCCGCCCCCCCCCCCGGCCCGTCCTTACCCGCCAGCCGCGGTCTCGGCGCCGCCGCGGGGCCGCCGCCGCCGGGAGAGGCAGCAGCGGGCACCGGCCGGGGGGGCGGGGGGAGGCGGGGCGGGGGCCGCCCCCCTCCCGGCAGCGGCAGAGGCACAGACCCCGGTGTCGTTAAGGCAGGGACAGACGGTGCCGTCGATGGCCCGAAGGACGGAGCTCGAGGGACGACGCTTGGCTGGGAACCAGCCCCGGCTCGCTCCTGCCCAAACTGGCTTCTCCTCCAAAACGTGCTTCCTCTGGGGGAGCCTCCGATGTGGGCAAGATCACTTCCCTTGCTGGATGTCTCTGGTAGCACTGTGCTGGCTGGAAAGCCTGGGTAGAGCTCCACAGCCACTTGAATCAAATACATAAACAGCTCCGCTCGAATCAAAAACATAAACTTTAGAAGATCTTAAGCCAGGGTGATGTTCTGAACTGTGTAAGAAGAGCCATTTCCTTCTCTGCAGTGCCAATCTTCCTATCTCCAAAAGGGCAAACAGGAAAAAAAAAAAAAAAAAAAAAATGGGCAAAGGATTCCTTCTTCATGCCCCAGGAAAGGGACAGCTAAAAGAAAAAAAGAAAAAAAAAAAAAGTGTACCTGTGCTTTAATGAAGATGAGACTCAACCCTTGGGAAAGAAACTCATGGGTGGAGGACCAGCCAGAAAAATCTGCTACTGTTGTCCTCGAGTAAGAGAATATGAGTTGTGGTCAAAGAGGGGTGAGGAAGGGCAAGCTACTGAAATAGGAGATTCAGAGGTGAACTACCACTGTTTTATGGAGACGGGGAACAGGCTTGGAGGAAGCAAGTTGGCAGCCTCTGGTGAGGACACAAGACACTGCCATGTGACAGAGGTGAGCCAAAGCTGATCTTCCATAGCGCAGGAAACCAGTGAGACTTTTACAATTTCTTACATTATCAGAAAGTCACGCCAAAGCAGACAGGCTTTTCTGGAAACTGAGTTGAGGCAGGCTCCAGTAAATTCAATGGCATGAGGTGGGATGAGCAGTGGCTCTGAAAAGCACAAGACAGCAAAGATTTCTGTTGACGCTAAAGGACAGCATTTCCAGCATCCTGCAGATCTTGGTAAACCACCACCTCATTTTCTTCCAGGTAGGCCATCAAAATTGCCAAGCCTTCCTAAAAACCAGCAGGGCTATGGAAGGACCAAGCTGCAGCGTGAGAAGACCAAGTGCAGGTCTCGCCCTCTGTTCACCCTCTGCAGAGCCCTCTCAGATCAAGCACTTCCCAGCTCCAAGAGAGGACAAGGTACCTCATGCTTCAAAGTTCCTCTGGAGGTAGGAGTTCCTCCAAAGACATATAGCACAAGGCTTGGAAAATGGCTTAGTTGCCAACAGATAATAGTCACGTTATCTTAAGTAACAGAAATTCAGTCTTACCCATTACACTGGGCGTCTCTAGGGTGCACCTGCCAGAAGTGACAAGGCACCACACAGAAAATCTGCTCCTAAAAGGACAGAACACAGACAACATGGGTAGAAGAGGAAGACTGGGGAAACCACCTGCAAGACCCTCTAGAGCTTTCCCAGGGGAATGGAGCAGGTCTGTCCGGGGCCGCAGCCACTCAAAGTGCCCATATGAAAAGCAGTCCCAGCAGTGACAGCCCACTCACAGCAGTGAGCTCCAGTTTCTTGTGTAACATCCGAAATTCTCTGCAAAGCATTGTCCATCCATTTTGGCTCCACTGCTTTTCAGTGCTATTGAGCTCTTCCTTGTATTTGAAACAGAGTAAGGAGGAACACCCTTTTGTAAATTGCTTTCATTTGTTCTACTTACCATCCCTGAAAAGTTTTCTTACATTTTCTCTGAAAATTAAGCAATCCTACTTCTTTGCTCTATGTATGAGAAATACTATTCAGGCTCTGGCTGTCTGCATTTGCAACAGAAGCGTTCAATGCAGCTTTCCCTACAACTAAATTCTTCTGTAAGCTTAATGACATTACAAAAGTTGTACTAGGAAAAACACCGGGCATTCTTGACTTAAAGAATTTAATTTTTATTATCTTAATTTTTAAAAAATCCAGTGTCCATCATAGTTAGCTGCGTCTTTGTTCACGAGTGTTTATCGTTTCAAGCCAGGTAAGATACTGGTTGTTAAAATTATAGTCCCGATGAATTTTATATTGTTAATACATAATTCCACCTGAGGGCTTGCAACCTACCAGATTCTGATAGAAACTTGCTGTTGTTCACATTTCCATCTCAGTATCACGTAAGGGACAGCCACAGTTCACAGGGGAAGGATCTAAGGATCTCCCACATAGACAGCAGAGGGAAAAGAAAGGGTACTGTTCTTTTCTTCTGATAGCCTGGATTTTTTTCACCGTAATTTGATCTGTGACTTGCAAGCCAGTGAATTGTTCCATTTACATTTTCCTCTCTTTAAATGTGTTTCTTCTGTAGTGCCAGGCCCAGGCCTGCAGGCTCAGATCACAAAGCTGCAGCCCTGGCAAGCTCCGGGTGAGGTAGCTCCTCTGCGCCACCCTCATCCCAGCAGGTAGCCCTGGAGGTGCCAGAACCTCATCCCAAACTCTTCCCCCTGGAATTCCATCCCAGTGAGTCTTCTGCCTTCTCCCAGGACACACCCAACCTCTTGGCAAAGAGGATCAACAGGTCCTGTTTTGCCAAAGTGTCAGGAAATTAGAAAAATTAGAAACAATTTCTAATATTTTCTACATACTCCAAAAAGGAGTCCTTCAGATTCTCATGTACTCTGCACAACATTCAATAAATCTTCTTGCCTTTTAGCTTCCACATTAGGCCTTTCTAATGGTTTTCATGTGGGAAGGGTATTAATTTCTCCTATCTCTTTATCAAGGTCAACATTTGTCTAAAAATAGATCAGATTTTTCCTTTGCTGAGACAAGTGTATACATTTTCGAGACAAGACTGTTCTTCTCCAGTAAATTCTGCTATCATTTTATCTTCTTCCCAATAATTCAGTGCAATATAAACTCAAACAGCAGAGGAAAAAAAAATATCTGAGATTTAAAAGTCCTTAATATAATTTGACTTTAATGACTAGCATATGCAGAACAAATCAGAACTATTAAGATTAATTCTACTATAAATACGGTTTGAAGAGTATTTCACATAAAGATACGGTATTATATATTGCTACAGGTACTTATTAAATTCATTTAACATTTTCCAATGCTAACAAAGTCAGTTTACATTGCTGACTATTTATGTTTATCTTAACGTAATTTTCAGTATATTACCCATTTCATAAAATATTTACTGTTTATGACTATTTTGTCAAAAGTGAAACCTGTTAGTTCATATCTCGCAAGAACTACATGATCTTGGAGACAGAACTCATTACTAGACTTATTTTAACTCTTTGCTCCACTACTTTGCCTTTTACTTTAGCAACAAATTTCTGCAAAAGTCCATCTGATCTGATAATTTAAATCAAAAAGCAAAAGTAAGAGTCAAATTCTTCTCTCCCTCTCATTTAATAAATTAATTTTTTCACTTGGTAGTATTGTCCTTAAAAAAACCCTTGTGAGTTTACATTTAATAAGCATTGTATATTCACTACATATAAATTGGCTATAGAAATTGAGCATATTCGTGTTCTTTTTGTGAGAGATTGAGTGCTTGTTGGCTTCAAATGCTCTTGATCTAGGCTAGATTGATAATCTAAGAGAAACTTGTTCAGACTGAAGATAAACCAGGCTTTCCAGATGTCAAAAGAAACCTTTGGTAAAACTGATTGCCCCCCAAGCCAAGGCGGAGAGTTGCTGTGTCCGACGTAGCACGTGCTAGGCGCAATCTGAAAGCCCCTAGGCAGCAGCAGGCACATGAGGGGTGCAGCACCAATTCCAGTACAGCTGTGCCTTACCCCAAAGGCTGCAGCTCATGAAACCGCACCGAAGCCCTCCGCTCAGACTTTCTCAAACTCATAACTTCATTAAAATACTCTTTCTTGAGTTAGGTGTTCTGCATTTACTATTCAAGTACAAATGGAAGCCTTCTAAGCGTGAGAAGGAGGAAACTTGAAGCTTTTAGTGGGAGGGCAGACAAGGATGAAGACTTTTTGTAGTAGAAAGGGGATGTGTGGAGATTTAAGGTCTTCCGGTATTCCTTTCAGAAGCAGTGAGCTCTGTATGGAGAAAGCTTGCAAGAAGCCACAGGCCACCGCAGACTAGCTTCCGAGTCACTTCATGAAGGAATCCCTAGTGCTTCAAGTGACTGGAAATTACCTGGACTCTTTAATTGTGGGGTTTTAACTCTTCTCAGGACCAAAATGTGTTGTTTATGGGAGACCATAAATACAGTTTTGACACCAGGCCTGGATTTCAGAGGCTACTTCATTAGTTAAGACCTTATCAATTTCTAAAGTTTTGTATTTACAGGGTGAATTAGAATTAAAACCAGTACAGATAAAGTATGATTTCTACTGTTATCTCTGCAATTTCAGATACAAAAAGTTTAAAACTAAAATTCTTCTGGGGCTGTTAGCACGGTAGCTTGCCATGTAAATTAAGCCCAAAGAGGATCATACACTTCTTTCTTTGCAGCTCAGCTGCGTAACCTCAGTATCACAGCAGTGCAAGTATTTGCAGGGGAAGCTTCTGTAAGAAGTTGAGTGGTTCTGAGTTAGCACTGACATGTCTAAAGCTGCCTACACACACAGCAGAGGCAGACAATGAGAACTGCCCCCAAGCAAGTTTCCATGTGGTGGATTTCATAGCCCCAGTCTGGCCCTGGTTTATAAAGGTCCCCAAAAGCTCTTCTCTGTCCCCATCTGTAACCAAGCTAGCAGTTCTGCAGACACAATTATAATTAAAGCAAGTCTGTAAGTCTCTGATTAAAAGAAATATTCAGGAATTAGGGAAAACATGGCCTCTTCTAAACAAACATGGTTTTAATTCACTGCTGAGTAATTCACTGCAAGTAGTAACAGAAGCAGAAAATGCAGAGTAAGACAGAACATGAATTCTTCAGAGTGGCATCTAGCCTTTGTGGGAGGAAGTAAACAGACCTCTGGTAGCAATTACATT